GTATCAGCTATGGCTTCACAATCTTGGGAGCAAGAACCTGAAATCGTTAAAGAATTATATAGGGAACTTGCTAAAGAAGCAAACAAAATTCGAAACGAAATTTCTCCCAAATCGCCTCGGCGTAAAAAGAGAGAACAATGGAATATTGTTTCCTTCCACCAACCCAACAAATCCAAATCTAAATCTCGAAATTCTCGTGCTACACCTTGCCCATTAACACCACCGATGTCACCACCAGAATCCAGTCCAATAATTTCGGAAATGTCCTTTGATGAGACATGCCCTAAATCTCCTGACCAAGAAGTCAAAAATAATTTTTCCATTATCGACAACATCAACTATAAATCTGAAATTGGAACTGAATATATTCCAACTAATGAGTTTGGCACACTTGTCGGTTCATCAATTTTACAACAAAAATTAAATGATTACGAATATGGATATAATGACTATGATTCTTCTACAGATTCAGAAATCACACCTACCGAATCACATCCGAGTTTTTGGCGAGGTTTATCAAATGATACATTAATCACAACTAACGATGCGATCATATTTTCCAACACCGAATCAGTTATAGATTCAACAATAACACCCATTGATGATGGCTTTGGGATCCCTAATCATACAGACTTTGCTGCCGCGAACGGATACATCTTAGAAGAATCTTCCTATTTTTTGGATTTTGATATTGCGGATGATCCTGGAATTATTTTTTCGTCGGACGGGTTGAGCTTTAATCATCCTTTTATTTCTTTTTAAAATAACCACTTACATTTTTCCTACCACCTACGTTTTACATATATATATATATATACATATTCATTATCATACTGTATCCATTATTATATAATATTTTCTTCCCATTATTTATCATTGATTTTTTTTTTCTTTGAATATAATTATGCAAGACTATAACGTACTACAGTACATATGCAGTATAACACTTTAATGGAAATAGCATGATATTTATGGTATATACAAATTTAGAAGGGCTGATTATGAATGATTTTTAACGTACGTACATAATAAGATGGTTACATATAGATAAGATTATGAATATATATAGCATATTATGAGTTTTTTTATGATTATTTTTATAGTCTAAATACGTGTACGTTATAGAGCTTAAATTTATGACACAAATTTTTTGTTTTATAATTTATAAATATTTTGTATATATTCCTATAAATATAGATTATTAAAAAATTTAAAAAAAAATTATTTCCTAATCCATAAAAAAAAATTTGAAACATATCTTTGAGAAAATGTTTGTTTATAAATGAAAAAAAAAAAATTGCGAGCAACAATTTATTCTTGTTTTTTACTTGTGTAAAAAATAATAATGTTCTCATAATTTTCAAATATTGAAAATGATTTGTTAAAAATTTGTCAGTAAGTTTTTATTTATAACAAACTTTAATTTTCACATATGTTTCAATTATGTGGATTACTTATATGTAATAAATTATCCTTTTTTTCTGTTTATATATATGTATATAATGTGTATACTTTATTTTATATAAGGATAAGTTTATTTACTACAAATAAAAAAAAAAAAATTAAATAAATATGCCAAAGAAATTTTACCTTAATTATTTGAATAGTGAATTAAATTTCCAAATAATCTCGCATAGAATGAAGGTGCTATTTTTTAATTCTAATTAATATTGTTAAAAGAAAAATTCAATGTTATAAGCAATAATTTATTTTTGTAAATTATATGACTCAACGGTTATTCTTTAATACTTTTTACTATTTTTTTTTCGTTGTTCGTGATTATATAATTGACTTTGTAAACCTTTAAAAAAAAAAAA